AGGGGTCATAAAAAACATGGCCAAGAAGGGGTCTGTGTCAAATTTAAAAATGCAGACTAAAGTCCAGTTATAGATCTAGTTTCTCCATTAAAGCTATTATCGCTGACAGAAATATTGATCAAGCTGAGTCAAACTAATGCATTTGCTACCTTAAAAAATAAAGCCATTGGTGTTTGCAATGTGTGGTTAGCACCTCAACTATTACTTGAAAGTTAAACTCATTCTAAATTTTGTCTGAAAATTAACAAGTATCAATAGCTGCGTTTCCATTGCAAATGTGCGCAAAACTTTATCGATATTCCGTGAATGTCGAAAAAACACAGTTTCACAATTGCGGTGTTTCCATTAAGTAAGAAATGCTATTAAAGTCACACGTGAATACGTTTGTTCTCGCGATAAGTCATTACAAACATGGCACCGATGGATGTAAACACATAGCATATTGATACCACGACACCAGCGCTCATAATCAGCCATCAGAGGAGACGTCAGCATCTTATCGAGTCTTTCCAGTGACAAGCTCCTTATACTTGGGAGCGGCTACATGTGCTGCGTTTTTGGGAAATTGTAGTCGGTGAGTTTACTACTTCCTTTTACATCTTCCATGATTTTACTACTATTTCTACTTCCTGTTTTCTTTTTTGTCGGCTTTTTTGCCAGTAGAAACATCCGGTTGTTGATGACTCTTGTGATGCGAAAAACGTGTTTCCATTGCAGTTTTGCGAAACACACCAATTTCAATACAGCCGAAAAACCACCTCATCCTAGTGCAAAACCATTTTGTAGAAAAACAAGCGTTTTTTTTTTTAAATTGACGTGTTTCCAATGAGAAAATTTATTTTTGAAATTCTAATTTGCGCATTTTCATGGTCAATGGAAATGACACTGAAACCATTGAATAGACGCTTGCATTTAGACAAGGTAAAGTAAACATTGCTCAGACAAAAAGAAACTCAAGATCTTTGCCTTTCAGGTGATTCTCACATCCCATAAATCCAAGCAGCCACTTACAGAGCATTGCATTATATCAAGAAAGGACCATTTATAAACCTGAACAAATGTCATTCACAAGTGCTTAATTAGCTAAAGTACAGTCAGAACTGCCCCTTTCTGAGATGAACTATAATTTATTTCTGTAATGGTATATATGTATTAATTTTGTTTCAATGCTTTGTAGGTCAGATAAAAAAAATCTTTCTCAAAAGTTTATTTAAGCAGGGTTGGTCACCTAAAAATGTTTTTATCACTGAATGACCCAAATAACCCGTTTCTATAAAAGAGAGATATATTTGTCTTCCAGTCTTAAAAAATACAGAATGTGTATGTCTAAGCTGTGAGAAGCTGCAGTGTAGGTGTGAGGAGAACGACTCAGCTTCCATGCAGCACTTTTACAGACATCTTCCAGGAGATTTCTTATTTCATATTTGTCTAAAAGAAATACAGCGCGCGCGCACGCACGCACGCACACACACACACACACACCCACACACACACACACACACAAAGAAAAGCAAAGAACACAGGCAAACACTTGGATAAAAGCAGGAGCTGCAAACAATAACGGGACAGACAGTGATTTTGAACAGCTTCTTTCTTGTGATATTTCTATTTTAAGGCTCAGCTGGTTTTGAAATCTATTTAGTGTCAGTGACAGCAGTGGGTGATTTACATATGCTAGACCTGTATCATTGTCTCATTTATATGTAGCTTCTGTATGTTTTGACAGTTTAGTCATTTCCTCACCCAGAAATGTTGTCCTCTGCATTTATTTCATCCACTGACTCACTGCTTTATATTTTGGTCCTTACTCTTTTTTTTGTTCATTAGTGCCATCCTCACTCTTCTTAAGCAGACTGGAGAGACCCTCTGAACTGGTTCTTTCTGTGGTACAATTATGTTGAAGACTCCACACTCCTCCTTCCAGGGCTCATATACTGCATTGATTCTGACAGTATGTTCCACTATATACGTACAGTACTTGTTATGTGCTTCGGTGTGACAGTAAACTCTTGTATAGAGACTGTTTCCAGTCTGGAGAGAAAATGGGGAGGTAGTAAAGAAAAAAAAAACACTTTCCCCAGTGGAAATACTTCGTAATCAAATGCACAAAAATAAAAAATAAAAATAAACAAAGACAAATCTTTCATTATTAGAAAACATTCCAAGAGGCTAATCTGTTTTTCTGACCCAATTGTTTAAGATTCAGAGAACTGGAAAGAAACTAAATCTCAATTTATAGGTGATAAATACCAAAGCTGTTGATTTTTACATCAAGATTTTTAGAAAATGCAGGTTTGTCTTTGGTTTGGGCTGAACATCAGCTGGTCTGTTAAAGGGGACATATGCAAAATCTAATTTTTTATCTGTAAAATGAGCCTGGTTCTGCAGGAGGTTTCTTCCTGATTAGCAGGGAGTTTTTCCTCTCCACCGTTTGCTCAGGATGGGAGACTGTGATGAAGTGATTCAACACAATCTGCTGGCTTCTTCTTTAGATTGTTTTTTTTTTTATTCATGTACAGTGCCCTGAGACAACATATGTTGTGACTTGGTGCTATATAAATAAACTGAATTGAAGTGCATTTTTTTGTTTACATGGAGTTTCTAGGACTGCAGTAAATTTAAATTTAGTCCTTTCCAGTGCTGCATAGATGTTTTTATATTATTTTTGGGACATATTTTTTTCAATGTCACAGCATTTGCCACAGAATTGCCAAATAGGGTAGGGACTTATACCAACTACAATTCGGACATCTTTATTCTCCTCTGGGTCAGACTCCAAAATGTAAGACTGGATAAACAAGTCTTTTGTTGACATCTCTTAATAATTTGTGCAGCTATACAATAGTCGTAAACCCCTCTATCTAACTAAAATGGATTGTCTAGAAGCTGGAGGGGGTCAGGCTGTGAAGCCCCTCACTTGGATTTAAAGGGCCAATATTGTGTGTTTCTCAGGCATAAATTTAAATACTATACCATAATAAAGTATCTACAGTATGTCACCTTTAACTGTTATTAAAATGCTGTTTTTATGTTTAAATAGAAAATAAACTTATCTTCTCATCACTTCCTCTTCTAAACGCCCTGAAATTGGCCTCTGTCTCTTTAAGAACCACCTTCCGCTTCTGTTTCACCCATTTCGGTGCGGGGTGGGGGGGATCTGAAAATACAATTCCTCAAAAGGTATTTTAAATCTGAAAAGAGCTTCAGTGAGTGAGAAGTAGTGGAGCTCAGCAGACAGTTTCAGTTTCATTTTCATCAAGAGCCTGCAGGAGTCATGGGCGGGGTGTTTGGGGAGATGGGCGGGGTGTGTGTGTGTGTGTGTGTGTGTGT